CGGGAGGAGAGCTTGTCCGCGGACGTATCGCGGACAAAGGCTCGACATCCCCAGACCCGGAACACCGACGCATCGCCAACCTCCCCCGTCCAACGCAGTGTGGGCGAGGTCTCCGGAGCAGAGACACGAGGCCAGAGGTTGAGCTGATGCGCGGCGTACTGCACTGCAAACGGCCACATGAAATGGGAGGCAGCCGCATGGATCATGGAGGTACGAGCGACCTCCATGACTAAGCCAATGCGGCGCTCAGCAACCCCATTCTGCTGTGGAGAGGCCAGAAGTGTGAACGTCTGGCGGATGCCGTGCTGCGCACAGTAGGCTGCCAAGAGGTCGGAGGAAAACTCACCACCCCTGTAAGAGTGCAGACGTAGGACGGGAAAGTCCGACTGGAACCGCTCGCGGAGCTGGAGACGAGCAGTGCGGATCCAAGGGATCAAAACATCAGGGACCTCACCTTTGGTGCGCAAGGGGAAGACCGTGGTGTAGCGCGTGTAGTCGTCGACGACCAGCAGGAAGTACCGCGCGTGGCCCTGTCCATGAATGCGGGCTGGGCCCCACACGTCCAGGTGGAGAGTCTGCAGGGGAGCCTCTGTAGGAGGGAACGAGGAGGAGTGAGGAGTGGCGCGCTGCCGCCCCTCGACACAAGGAAGACAGGGAGGAGCAGGCAAGGGTGGGAGGGGAGGGAGAACCCTGGGAAGACAAGAGACAAGGTACCGGGAGTGCATGCCACGAAGGCGCTGCACTGAGGGGTGACCAAGGCTGTGGTGCCAGAGGACGGTCTGGTGTGACAGGGTGCGACACGACAACTGGACAAGGGAGGGCAGTGGTGGAGGTTGCAAGGACCGGACCCCCGGAGGGGTCAGCCAAGGAGACAGCAACCGGTCTAGGGAGCTGCTCTAGGGCAGTGCGGTCGCGAAAGAAACAGCGGGAAGCACCTGCGTCCAATGTGAAGGTGTGCAGTGTCTTAGTAGATGTAGTACCTGAAGGCGCAGACTCACAAGCACCTGAAGAAGCAGACTCACGAGTGCCTAGAGCAGCAGCCTCACCAGCATCTGGAGCAGGAGACGCACGAGCACCTAGAGCAGCAGCCTCACTGGCACCTGGAGCAGCAGACTGGATACCGGGGTCAGGCGGCACACATAGGTGACAGGCTCCCTCGGCAATAGTAGACAATGCATACATTGCAGTGAGAATAGCATCATAGTCAAGAGCAAAGATATCTACCCTCTGCCTAAGCAGCTCCACCCAGTCGGGGAGCTCAGCGTCGTCGCCAATCTCTGTACGCCAAGCGTCGCTCAGACGGGCGAAGCAACAAGACTCTGTGTGACCAGGCGTCCCGCAAGGCTGACCAAACCCGATACCCGTGCTAATAACGTACGGGCAGCGAGCAGTACCCAGCGACCCTCTACTCTGAGCGTACCACTCACGAAGCTGCTGGGGCGAACGAGTCTCGCGCAGACGACGCTGCTGCTGCACCGGGCCACTACAAGAAACTCCCAAACTACCCACTCAGGATGACTCCCACTACTGCCACCCTGACAACCCCAACTGGCGTACCACTCACGAAGCTGCTGGGGCGTGAGGGACACACGCGGACGGCCCTGGAGCTACATCTGGCCACGCCACGAGCAGCAGTAGAAGCAGTAGCAGCAGGAGCAGCAGTAGCAATAGCAGCAACAGTAACAGCAGTAGCAGCACGGGCAGGGCAGTGCTCACCAGTGGTGGGAAGGGCAGGCGCACGACGGAGGCGACTGCGGGCCCGCTACAGCGGCAGGGCGGGGCCGGGACCACGGCAGAGAGCTCCGCGGCAGTTGCTGCAGGGCGGGACCGGGCCGCGACGGCAGCTGGTGCAGGGCAGGGACAGGGCCGCGACGGTCTGTGCTACAGGGGCGGCTGCTCCAAGGGCCATGGGCGGCTGCTGCAGTGGCGGCTGCTCGAGAGGCGGCTGCTCCAAGGGCGCCTGCTCGAGGGGCGGCTGCTCCTTGGGCCAGAGGCGGCTCCTGCAGTGGTGGCTGCTCCAGTGGCCAGGGGCGGCTGCTGTAGGGGCGGCCACTCCAGGGGCCGGGGGCGGCTGCAGGTGCGGCTGCTCCAGGGGCCAGGGGCGGTTGTTGCAGTGGCGGCTGCTCCAGGGGCCAGGGGCGGCTGGTGCAGGGGCGGCTGCTCCAGGGGCGGCTGCTCCAGGGGCCAGGCGCGAGGTAGGGCAGGGCGACGCGGCGGGCAGGGGCGACGCCGCGGGCAGGGGCGGCGTGGCGGGCAGGGCGACGCGGCGGGCAGGGGGCGATGACGCTTCAGCAGCTGGGTGCGGCCGCGTCAGTAGCAGGGCGCGGCCGCGTCAGCAGAAGGGCGCGGCCGCATCAGCAGTAGGGCGCGGCCGCGTCAGCTGCAGAGCTTGCGGGGCCGCGTCACAGCAGGGCAGGGCCGTGTTCGCGTTGGCGGCAGGGCGGGGCCGCGATCGCGGCAGGGTGGGGCCGCGTCTGCGACAAGGCGGGGCCGCGATAGCGGCCTGATGGGGTCGCGACAGCGACCTGACGGGGTCGCGCGCTGGCCTGACGGGCCTGCAGAGGCTGCGTGTGGATGGTGAGGGCCTGCAGGGGCGGCGCGCGGTCAGGCAGAGGCTGCGCGCGGGCGGCGTGGTCCTGCAGGGGCAGCGTGCCGACCTGACGGGCCTGCAGGGGCGGCTCTCGGGCCTGACGGGCCTGCAAAGGCGGCTCGGGGGCTTGACGGGCCTGCAGAGGCGGCTCGGGGGCCTGACGGACCTGCAGGGGCGGCTCGAGGGCCTTACTAGCTTGCAGGGGCGGCGCACTGGCCTAGGGCAGCAAGAGGCAGCGCGAGGGCTGCAGGACGGCGCGCGGGCAGAACGAAGGGCGGGGCGTGCGAGGGCGCACTAGCAGAAAAAGGCGCACGAGGGCGCACGAGCAGAGAAAGGCGCACGAGGGCGCACGTAAGGTAGGGCGCACGAGGGCGCTTCTAGCGGAATAGTGGGCCCGCAGCAGTAAGCAGTCCTAGGTGGCAAACAAGGCTCGTGATACCATGTCAGAATGAACAAGAGTGATTGAACTAGGAAAGAGTTGGGTACAAGTAGGAAACCCTAAACTTACTGTACCCCATAGTAACTACCCCACTACAGCCTAAACAAAGTGTACCAGATATGACATTTGACAAGGTACACTTGTAGGGCAGGGTGGTTTTTGATGTTGGCCAGGGGCACCTAGCTATCCTCAGTTGGCGTGCGGTCCTTCGAGCGAACGAGGAACTCGATCCTCTTGATGCATGTGGGTGTCGAATCGGATGGCTCATAATTTTTTCGGGCTCGATGATCGGCTTCAATGCAGGGCGAGTCATGGATGGCGGGCGGTGACGAGACAGTTGGCTCATCGTTGGGATGTAAGGGCGAAGTAGGCTGACGTGGAATGATGTTTTGATGTACCAGTCTGTCGGCAACAGTAAATGGGCGGTGACTGGGGTGATAATCTGGCTGGTTTGAAAGGGTCCACAGTAGCACGGTCCTAATTTCGGCACGACGGGCAATCTTAAGTTCTCTATGGCGAGCAGTACGTAATCTCCTGACTAATACGTGACTAGGCGGCGGTGGCAGTCAGCTTTGCGTATAGCGATGACGTTGGCCTTTTTAATTGCTTCGGCGACTCAGGTGCGGGCAGCTTGCAGAATCTCGGCGAATTGCTGTACGTGTGGCGTTGAGTTGTCCTAGCTCGGCGTCATTGGCTGTGTTGGGCTTTGCCCATAGTTCAGGTAAAATAGGGGCTGCTGCGTCATCGCACACGTGGCGTTGTTGTAAGCGAACTCGATCAGCGGCTGCTGCTGCTCCCAAGTTGTCGGGTCGTCGCACGTGTGCATGGTCGAGTGAGAAGTGGACAGATTGGGCAGCACGTTGTTGTAAGCGAACTTGATCAGAGGCAGCTGCTGCTCCCAACTGCTCCATCGTCTGATTGGTCCACTCTGTTTGACCGCCGATCTCGAGGTAGTACGATGAACTGAACTGTAGCCTGGTCCCGAACTGCTCGCTGAGATTCTTCCAGAAGTTTCTGAAGAACTTCGTGTTGCGATCGCTGATTATCGCGGCTAGTATCCCGTGCAGTCGAACGACGGTTGCGATGAACAGGCGAGCGGTTTCTTCGGCTGATATCGATTTCTTGCACGCAGCGATGTGAGCCATTTTCGTCAGTCTCTCAACGATGACCATTACCGCGTCGTTACCCCCAGTGTTCGAAAGTAACGCTGTTACGAAATTCATGGTAACCTGCTGCTAAGAACGCTCGGTTGGTGGAATCGGCTGCGACTGACCCACCTTTCTTTTTCGCGAGCTCTTCACTACCTGACATGTAGGACACGAGCCCACGTGGTGCTGTACGTCGGTCAACAGCTCCGGCCAATAGTAATACCGCTGCAGTTGCTGTCGCGTTTTTTCTACCCCGAAGTGGCCTGTGGTAATTCCGTCGTGTGCCTTCTGCAGTAACAGTTTCCTCAGTAGTGAGTACACGAGTACCCAAATGCGGTTGGTGCCTCTTTTTACATAATAGACTCCCTTAATTTTTGCCATTTGCTGTGAATTTCCGGTCGTGAAAAATGGGTCGGTACTGTATACGTGGGTGAATAGGCATGTCAACAGTGGGTTGGTTTGAGCGAGTAGGCTGGCGTGGAGTTGGGCGGTAGGACGTATGAATGCGTCGGCGATGTTTGATGCGCCTTTTTTGTACGTGGCTGTGTAGTGGAAGTTGGACTCCAGATAGTCCAACCAGCGGATCTGTCGCGGGTTGAGATTCGGTTGGGTGTGGAGGTACTGTAGTGATCGGTGATCTGCCCGTATTGTCACGTCTGCTCCAGTGAGGTAGCATCGCCACACATTGAACGCATGCACAATCGCCAGCATTTCGCGGTCGTGTATCGGGTAGTTGCATTCAAGCGGGCAAAGCTTGCGGGACTCGTACGGGATTGGTTGGAGACCGTTCCCGAAATCCTGTAGAAGTACTGCTCTCACGGCGATGTCGCTTGCGTTGGTGACGAGTTCGAACGGACGGTGCGGATCTGCGATGTGAAGCACGGGCGGCGAGCACAAAATTTGTTTGAGGGCCGAGAAGGTATCTTGCTCTTTCTCCCCCCGCATGTACTCAACCCCCTTCCTCAGCACGTCGGTCAACGGAGCAGTCAACTTCGTCATATCGGGGACGAAGCTGTGAGAGTTGTCAGGCTTATATGACTTAGCCTATGTAGGCTATAGTGGGGTAGCACATATGGGGTACAACACATTTCTAGGTTTTGTACTTGTATCCAACTTTCCCTTAGTCATTCTCATTCCTCGTTTCTTATCATGGTATCGAGCAGGTTCCCTAGTGGGAACGCTACCTAGGGCCCACCACGATATTTTTTTTTCCTGCCCGGAGCGCGCTTCACTCCTGCCCGAGTCGCGCTCTGTGTGCCCTCCCTACCTTCGCGCCGCCCTTAGAGGCCCCTCTCACGGCCCCTTACGCCGCCCTTACGGCCCCTAGCGCCGCCCTCTACGGCCCCTCGCGCCGCCCTTACGGCCCCTTACAGCCCCTCGCGCTGCCCTTACGGCCCCTTACGGCCCCTCACGCCGCCATTACGGCCCTCGCGCGGCCCCTTTCGGCCCCTCGCGGTGCCCTTTCCGGCCCCTTACGGCCCCGTCGCCGCCCCGTTTAGGCCCCTTGCGGCCCCTCTTCGGCCCCGTCTAGGCCCCTTGCGGCCCCTCTGCGGCCCCGTCTAGGCCCCTTGCGGCCTCTCTGCGGCCCCTCTGAGACCCCGTCGCCACCACCTGCGGCCTAGTCGCCGCCACCTGCGGCCCCGTTGCCGTCACCTGCGGCCCCGTCGCCGCCACCTACGGCCACGCCGCCGCCACCTGCGGCCCCGTCGCCGCCACCTGCGGCCCCGTCACCGCCAACTGCAGCCACGCAGCCGCCTGCGGCCCCGTCGCCGCCACCTGCGTCCCCGTCGCCGTCACCTGCGGCCCCGTCGCCCTCCCCTAGCGGCCACGTCGCCGCCTCTACCGGCCCTGTCACCGCTCAACCGCCCAGCGACCGAGCCGCCGAGCAGCCCAGCAGCCGAGCCGCCCACCAGCCGAGCCGCCGAGCCGCCCAGCAGCCGCGCCGCCCAGCAGCCGAGCCGCCCACCTGCCGAGCAGCCGAGCCGTTAAGCAACCGAGCCGCCCAGCAGCCGAGCCACCGAGCAGCCAAGCCGCCCACCAGCCAAGCCGCCGAGCCGCCCAGCAGCCGAGCCGCCCAGCACCCGAGCCGCCCAGCCGCCGAGCCGCCCTACTGTCGAGCCGCTGCTGTTCCTACTGGTGAGCTCACTCCCTACTAGGCCACTGCAGTCATGGCTACCCCCAGAGTCCTTACTTTTGACGCTAAGGGTCGTGCCGTTGACTTTGAGGTCTGGGTCGATAACCTCTAGCTCTTTCTCCAGTGCGATAGGGCAGACGAACTCTCTCTGTTCGATCTCACCTCTGGTGTCTCTCTCGCCCCGCCTGCTACTGCTGACAGCACTGTTCGCTCACAGTGGGCCACACGCGATGCTGCTGCTCGCCTTGCTGTGCGTCGCCACTTACCGACCGCTGAGCGTGCGCACTTTAGCCAGTACAAGAGTGCTAAGACCTTGTACGACGCTGTAGTTGCACGCTACTCCTCCCCTTCCACTGCTGCTCTTAGCCGCCTCATGCTGCCATACCTGTTCCCTGACCTTGCTGCCTTTCCCACAGTCGCTGACCTCATTACTCACCTTCGCACTAGTGACATTCGCTACCGCGCTGCGCTTCCTACTGAGTTCTGTGCCAAGAACCCCCCCCCCCCATGTACATCACCCTCTACGACATAGTCACCCGCCTCTCTGACTCCCTTCGCTTAGTCAGGGACCACTTCCTCTCAGTTTGCCCCACCACTCTCACCGTCGATCTCCTCGAGGAGCGCCTACTAGCAGCAGAGAAGAGCATAGTCGCTGTAGGAGCCTCTCGTGGTGACCCTCGCACCCCCGTCTTTGAGGGGTGTTCCCCCTCCCCCCTCTTGCCCTCTGTTGCCTCTGCTGCTGCGGCCGACCTCGTTGGTTTCGAGTCGGTCGGCGCTGCATTTGCCCCGAGCGGGAGACGCCGCACCGGCAAGGGCAAGGGGGGCAAGGGCGCTGGAGGGGCTGGCGAGGGCGGTGGAGGTGGTGGTGGAGGCAGTGGAGGGGGTGGGGGTGGTGGTGGGAGTGGTGGCGGGGGTGGAGGTGTGGGTGGCAGCAGTGGAGGCGGAGGAGGCGGCGGCGGTGGCGGAGGGAGCGGAGGCGGCGGAGGTGGTGGAGGCGGCGGAGGCGGCGGAGGTGGCGGAGGCGGCGGCGGCAGCAGTGGACCTGGTCGCGGCTCTGCACAGAGGAGTGGCTCCGGTGGTGGTACGCGCCAGCAGCAGCAGCGCAGTCGTGAGACCCTATCCCCTCAGCAGCTTCGTGAGTGGTACGCTGCGCGTCAGCGCGGTGGGGGTACTGGTCCCTGCACCTACGTTCTCCGCACCGGCGACCGCGCTGGTGAGCAGTGCGGGGGCCCGCACTCCACCCAGCACTGCTTCGGCCGCCTGACGGACGCGTGGCGTCACCATTTCCCTGAGGCCTCTGAGATCCCTCGCTGGGGAGAGCTGTCTAGGGTGAGAAACTGAACGAGAATGGGAAGTGTAGAATGAAGAAGAGGGCGTTCACTAGAAAGCAGAAGGATACATATAGGAAAACCTAAGGGGTTGTACTCGCTATAGAGTACCCCACTGCACGCTAGAGAACAATAACATTCTGACACACCCCCATAGCCAAAGTGGGGTGTAATCAGCAGAGCAAGCAAAGCAGAACAAGCTCAGGGTGGATCACAATGTCACCACACATTGTGAGCACAAGTACAAGAAGCAACAGTTTAAAGTTCACAATTATGAGCAAAGCTAGTGGTAGTCACAACGGGCAAGTGAGGAGGAGGAGGGACAGTGAGAGGAGAGGAGATAGGAGGCGACGGCTGAAGCTGCAGACACACGGGCAACAAGAGTCACACTGGCACAGCGGCTACCGGAACAACGCTCCGGACTACTGGAGTAACTGGCTCCGCGGCTAAAAGTAGTGGCAGACGAGCAACGGACCCACGGGCGACTGGTACAGCTGGCAGCGACTGGGCTACCGGAGTAGCTCCCCGGACTACAGGTGCTGCTGGCGACACGACGGCAACCTCTGTTCAACCTCCCCAAACAGTCCCACTCCCCCTGACACACACCCCCTATTTCACCTCTAGCTCCACTCCCCCTTCACCCCCCTTAGTACCACTCTGACGGCTCCAACAGGTCCACCCCCCTCAGCGGCAGCTGCAGCACTGGGAGACAGAGGAGGAGGAGGAGCAGGGGACGGCACACAAAAGCTGCACCCCCATACCCCCCACCCCCAAACCCTAATCCAGGAGAATGGGCAGCAGCAGGGGTGGGGCGCCATAAGAGGCACGGGGGACAGCGGGCAGCGCAGGGGCAGCAAAGAACGGGCCGCCCACACGCCTGGCACAGCCGCCCGAACCGCGCGCAGGCGGCCTAAGCCGCGCGCGGGCCTGGCGCAGCCCGTACGGGCCGCGCGCGGGCCTTGCGCAGCCCGTACGGGCCGCGCGCAGGCCCAACGGGCGACGGAGGGCGACGCGCGGGTCCCCGTCGCCCGTCGTAGTGCCTCCCGGGAGCGACGCGCTGCGTGACTGGGCAGAGAACCGCCGCGCGCCTCGGGGCGTGCAACACAGAGAGTCGCAGTAGCAGCGGGAGCAGTGAGGTGGTGAGCCCACCCATTGGATCGACCCAAGGGGATGGACCTGCTCTGATAGCATGAGAAACTGAACGAGAATGGGAAGTGTAGAATGAAGAAGAGGGCGTTCACTAGAAAGCAGCAGGATACATATAGGAAAACCTAAGGGGTTGTACTCGCTATAGAGTACCCCACTGCAGGCTAGAGAACAATAACATTTTGACATAGGGCGGGGGTTGCTATCTCTGATCTTGATTTTGATGCTATTCTTGCTGCCATGTATGCTGTTTCTGATAGTGTTGAGGGTGACTTTTACCTGTGTGTTCCGCCTGACCCGGGCATTGAGACTGCTGCTCTAGGTGCTAGTGAGGCTGCTGCTCTAGGTGCTAGCGCGTCTGCTGCCCCAGGTGCTGGTAAGTCTGCCCTCTCAGGTACCACGTCGGCTCAGGCCTTACACACCTTCACCCTTGACTCGAGTGCTTCCCGCTCCTTCTTTTGAGACCGCACCACACTTACGCCGCTTAGTCGGCCGGTTGCGGTCTCCCTGGCGGACCCCTCTGGGGGTCCTGTCCTTGCTCGCTTCTCCACTGTCTTACCCTGCCCGGCAGCCCCTTCTGGCACCCTGTCAGGCCTCTACCTCCCCTTGTTCTCTACGAACTTGGTGAGTGGAGCTGATCTACAGGATAGGGGGGTTGACCAGTTCACTCCTGCGAGTCAGCGGGTGACCCACTGCACGTGTGCTCGGACAGGCCGACACTTGGCCTCGTTCACCCGTCGGCCGAGGTCGAGCCTGTACACCCTCACTACTGAGTCTCCTTCGGCTGTTAAGCCTAGTCAGGTCGCTGCGTCGATTCAGGTGTTTGCTGCTGCGTCCAGGTCTAGTCCTGGGTCTGCTCCCTGCTCGTGTCGTCTCCTGTCTCACCGGACTCTCCTTTGGCACCACCGCCTTGGTCACCCCTCTCTGCCTCGTCTCCGAGGCATGGCCTCCCGTGTCCTTGTCTCTGGTCTCCCCCGGTCTCTCCCTCCCCTACCTCCGGGGCCTGCCCCTACCTGCGTCCCCTGCGTCGAGGGGCGACAGCGCTCCACCCCTCACTCCTCCGAGTTTCCGCCGACAGAGGCTCCGTTGCAGACTCTTCACATGGACGTGTGGGGCCCCGCCCGCGTCCGTGGCCAGGGGCACGAGCATTACTTCCTATTGGTGGTTGACGACTACTCGCGTAACACCACAGTCTTCCCCTTGCGCAGCAAGGTCGACGTCACTGAGGTGTTGATCGACTGGATCCGCGCAGCTCGTCTCCAGCTCAGGGAGAGTTTCGGGTCCAACTTTCCTGTTCAGCGTCTGCACTCGGACAGAGGCGGGGAGTTTTCCTCTGCCCGTCTGGGAGCCTTCTGTCGGGCACAGGGCATCCGCCAGACCTTCACGCTTCCGGCCTCTCCACAGCAAAATGGGATTGCTCAGCGCCGCATTGGCATGGTCATGGACGTCGCTCGTACGTCCATGATCCATGCGGCTGCCCCCCATTTTCTGTAGCCGTTTGCGGTTCAGTACGCGGCGCATCAGCTCAACCTTCAGCCCCGGGTCTCCTTGCCAGAGACCTCCCCCACCTTGCGGTGGACGGGGAAGGTTGGCGATGTGTCTGCGTTTCGGGTCTTGGGATCTTGGGCGTTTGTCCGCGACATGTCTGCGGACAAGCTGTCCCCCCGTGCTGTTCCCTGCGTCTTCCTTGGCTTCCCCCCTGACGCGCCTGGTTGGCAGTTTTACCACCCCACCTCGCGCCGAGTTCTGTCCTCCCAGGACGTCACCTTTGTCAAGTCGGTGCCTTACTACCGTCTCTTCCCCTACCGCACTGCGCCCCTCCCCCCGTCGCCGCTCTTCCTCGCGCCAGGTCCTCCCACGGTAGACCCCCTCCCCCCTCAGGGTCCTGCCCCATCAGGTGTGTCCCAGGTAGACGCAGTCGAGCCTGTCGAGGTAGCTGTTGACTCTGGTGCTGCTAGAGGTGCTGAGCCTGCGGGTGCCGGGTCTGGACGATCTGAGCCCGCGGGTGCTGAGTCTCGGGGTGCTGAGCCTGGGGGTGCTGAGACTGGGGGTGCTGAGTCTGGGGGTGCTGAGACTGGAGGTGCTGAGCCTGGGGGTGCTGGGTCAGGGGGTGCGGAGCCTGGGGGTGCGGAGCCTGGGGCCGCTGGGTCTGCTCGTGTGGCCGCCGGCGGTGCTTCGTCGAGGCGGGAGCCACTCTCTCCGCAGGAGCTGCGCGAGTGGTTTGCCCGGCGCTGGAGCCGTGCTCGTACTGGCAGTACTGGAGCTGCTGGGACTGGGGGTGCTGCTGGGGCTGCTGGAGTTGGTCCTGCTGGAGCTGCAGGCGGTACTGGAGCTGCCGGTCCTCCTGGAGTTGCTGCTGCTGGAGCTGGAGCTACTGGGGGTGTTGGCGCTGGTGTTTGTGCTGGCTCTGGTGCGTCTGACGGTGCTGGTGTTGGCGCTGTTGGAGCTGGAGGTACTGCTGGCGCTCCTGCTGCTGCTGAGGGTACTTGTGCTGTCCCTGCTGGTTCTGGAGGCGCTACGCGGCCGAGGCCGTACTTCGTTCCGCTCCTTGAGCAGGTACTTGGTCTCCCGCCCTCTACTGGTCGTGCTCCTCGCTTAGAGTGTACACTGCCTGTCCAGTCGCAGTCACAGTTACAGCCCGCCTCCCCCCTACCTGCTCCTTCTCCCTACACTAGTCCTAGTGGAGGTCTTGCTAAGCGTCGTGAGCCTCCGTCTCGTCCTGCGTTGCCTGTTCGTGCTGCTCGCACTAGTCGTCGTGCTTCGCGTCCTCGTCCTCCTGCGGTCCCAGGCACACACCAGATGGCACTACGTCCTTCCACTGCTCCTCTGCGTGTCCCGTTGCCGTCTCCTCCAGAGTCCTCTCTTCCTGACCTTGCTGACCCTGAGTCTGACTCTCTTCGCCTGCCAGTCCTACTGTCACACGACGTGGTCTTTGCAACTGATGACACTACTGGACTTGCCCACGTGAAGTCGGAGCTGCAGAAGAGACACACGTGCACTGACCTGGGTGAACTGCGCAGCTACCTTGGCTTGCAGATCACCCGGGACAGAGCACAGCGCACCATTACCCTGACTCAGTCACACATGGTGCAGCAGGTCCTTCAGCGCTTCGACTTCACGTACTCCTCGCCTCAGGCCACTCCTCTGTCTACTCGCCACTCGCTCTCTGATCTGCCTTCGGATGAGTCCGTAGAGCCGAGTGGCCCGTACCTAGAGCTTGTTGGCTGCCTCATGTACCTGATGACCTGCACACAACCTGACCTTGCATACCCTCTTAGCATCTTGGCACGCTATGTTGCTCCTGGGAGAGATTGACCAGAGCACATGGCTGCAGCGAGGAGGGTGTTGCTCTACTTGTGCAGTACGTTGGGCATGGGGCTAGTGCTTGGAGGGCGACGTCGAGTGGTCCTCACAGGTCACCCAGACACTTCTTGGGCTGACGACCAGGCTACGCAGCGGTCGTCACAGGGTTACACCTTCAGCCTTGGTTCCGGCTCTGTCTCGTGGCGGGCTACCCGCTCGTCTTCTGTTCTCGGGTCTAGTTGTGAGGCTGAGATCAACGCAGGAGCCATGGCTGCACAAGAGCTTTGCTAGCTCACCTACCTGCTGAATGACCTCGGAGAGCCGCCTCGTTCTCCTCCAGTGCTGTACGTAGACAACAAGGCCATGCTGGCCTTGTGTCGGGAGCAGAGACTGGAGCACAGAACGAAGTACATTGCTCTTCGCACAGAACGAAAATTTCTCTAGGCCCAAGAAATTCGAGCCTCAAACACATTTGATGGGGAGATCGACGCTAGGCACTGGCTTTTGGCGATCAAAATATATTTCGCCGCCATTGGATGGACAGCACCAGCACTCGACAGAAAC